GTGTGTGTGTGTGTGTGTGTGTATGTAACAAGGCCAGGACATGTAGATACATGTCCTTGAGTTAGCCAGACACTAAGATGTGAATTACTGCACCTGTGATATGTATAACTCAGCACCATGAGGTAATTCATTATATCATAGACTGGAGAGTTGCATCAGCCTAGGGTATATATAGCTAAATCTAATGTAAACCATTTGTGGGTTACTGTGAGTGGGTTATTGTTATGTGGAGTTAATGAGTTGTTGGAGTTACTGTGAGAGATGCTGTAAGGTACTGTGAGTACTGAGAGAGGAACTCTGTTTGTTCTGTTCCTTCTATTGTATATACCAGGGGTAGGCAACCTTTCCCCTTTAAGGGCCGAGGGACTTCAGCTCCCAGAAGCCTCAGCTATGTTGGCCAATAGTCCCATGTTGGCCAATAGCTCCTGGGATTCTGGGAGCTGAAGTCCCTTGGCCCTTAAAGGGGAAAGGTTGCCTACCCCTGGTATATAGTATCTCCTTATCACCTGTAAATGAATATCTTCACCATGAGCAGTCTGGTCATGCTTCCTGAATTTATCCTGGTATCTCTAGCTTTGGCTGAGATACTGGAATCATGTTCACATATCATTTTCAGCATGACAGTTTCTGGTGTAGCATTTGGAAAACCTTTAGGTGCTGTTTAGGTTGGCCCAATAATGGTATCACTGTATCATTGTTTTGTGGATTTTGGATGTTATTGTACTTAGCTGTATAGTGAACATGGATGTCCCTAGATATGTTTTCACATTTCCTTGGCTTGTTGATATTCTGGTGGGTTACTTATGGTGAACCTATCATGGGGTTTTCTTGACAAATTTTTTTCAGGGGAGATTTGCCAGTGCCTTTCCCTGAGGCTGAGAGCATGTGATTTGCCCAAGGTCACCTAGTGGGTTTCATGGCCAAGCAGGGAATTGAACCCTGGTGTCCAGAGTGACAGTCCAACACTCAAACAACTATGCTACACTGGCTCCCCATTTCCTTGATATGACTCATTAACTTTGTTTTATCTCCCCTCTGTAGTTGCTTAAACTGTTTTTTTCCAAAATCTGTGGTTGTGTGTTATTGAAGCAGTAGGAATCTGAAAGATGTAAAAAAGAAAAAGAAAAGAAAAGCTCATAGGAGGGGGGCAGATTTGCCCTGTGTGAGACACTTCCTCTGTATCACTGCATCTCTAGGGAGGCAGGTCCCTTGACGGTCTTCAAGCCGAGCAAATACTTTGCCTTTTCCACCTGCTAACTGTGCAGTTATGGAAAGGATAAAAGTCTGAACTACATCCAACATCATATAAGGAGACTTCCATGTACATAGTGGACTTCTCTTACCTCTCTCCTCCAATGCGCCCCCCAGTAGGAATAGCAATAGCAATAGCATGTACATTTCTATACCACTCATCAGTGAACTCGGCAGTCTCTAAGTGGTTTACAATCTGTAAGCTAATTGCCCCCAACAAGTTGGATATTAATTTTAGCAACCTATGAAAGGATGGAAGGCTGAGTGAACCTTGGAGCCCTGGGATCAAACTCACAACCTTGTGGCTGCAGTACCAGCATTTAACCACTGCACCACCACGGCAACCACTGTGCCACCATTTTAGAGCTTCCTAGGGGACTGCAGGGGGAGAGAATCAATTTGGACAAGGATATCTATTCCACTTGTAGACATCAATCAACAGACACCAATTGATATAACCTCATAAACAAAGCCCAGATGTAGGAATCTTCTCAACCATGACATAAACTCCAACCATTCAGTGGCTGCAAAGTAACTCTTTGTATTTAGTGGGTGAACCATAAGCAAGGTAGCATTTTCCCCCTTGTTTATTTTCCATTAATACACATTTAAGTGCCTGTACATTTCTTGAAAATAAATATGAAAGGGTCAGAAATGATGAGGCAAATTGCACGCAAACCATCAGGGACAAGTCTGCTGCTATGCAATATCATCCAAAGGGCAACAGCAATCAAAATTATTGGAATACTACCATAGTTCTTGGAGATTAGCTTGGTTCCAAACAAACTGTTATAGCCAATACTATAACTGTTATAACCAATACTGTCAAACAGAACACACTAAGAATCCAATTTTCTAAATATACCCAAAAAATCACTGTGCTATACTGTTCTCTGAACCCAGAACCCATAAATGCTATCATCATCCAGCTTTACAAGCTAAGTGGGTGGGTTTGGGGTTTTTTGGATGTTGTTATATAGAAATTTTATTTATTTATTTATTTATTTATTTATTTATTTATTATGAATCCACTACAGATAAAAGGGTCATGAAAAAATGTGTATGAAAAGGTAAACAGTTTGGGAGTGAAGAGTTACAAATGACCAGTTTGCAGTTACTTGTAACTGCAGTAATTCATTTTTCAATGACTGGAGGAGACAAAATTGGGAAATGTTGACCTAACTGTTGCTTTACCTCACAGATCCTTTAAGATCCAGCTCAGATCTTTTCCATGAAGCCTTTGATGTAACATGTTAACAGTTTCAATCTTATCATTACCTTGAGGTATGTATCAATGCAAATGCTGTTTTCATTCCAGGTTGCCCTTGACTTTCCATGCTTTTCTTCTGACCCATTGCCTAAATTTAGATTCTAAATGCCTTAGAACAGTAACCTTTTCCCCATGCTACTTCAGCAAACAGCAAGGTAGACTGATGGCACCTTGATATTATTACACTGATAACTATAGTGCTTATGATGCTCATGGTGCTCACAGCTTAATTAACCAACCATGAATACAGCCAAACTTGTTCCCCCTCCCCTCTTCTTTCATACCAAGGATCCTACTGGATACAAACCGATTCAAAGCATACAAACAGTACAAGAAATAACACAATTAGGGCCTTTACAGACTGCCAGAATTAATGCAGCTAACTTTGCAACAAACAATGACCTGTCTGCCCCTGCTGTAAAAAAGAAGAAGGAAGTTATCCTTTGCTAAATGCAATGGAATGTAGTTATACCCTTGTTATTGGGAAAAGGAATTACTGATAATAACAAATAGCTAGTTATTTGTAACAAGACACTTTCAAGCTCTTACGAGAAGCATCCCAGCTGCCATGTTGGTTTGCTCCCTCCCCTGAAACAGGGATCAAATTGCATTAAAATCCAAAGGCTGTGCTGGCTTCTTCATCAGGTAAAGAAGTTAACAATCTTAAAGGAGAGAGAAAATATAGGAGAAGACTAACAGTTACAGGCCTGCATTTTGTCTCAGATGTTATTCTGTTGTCCGTAAGATAGTATTGAGAAATCTTAATGCAGATAGGGGCTACTCCACTTTCTGGCCATGTGAGGATTGGGAGAAAAGAGCAGTAAAAAAAATAGGTAATAAAATTTCAACTCCATTGGCAACAGAAAAGCATGATCTGGAATCAAGTTGTGATTTCTGAAACTGGATATCAAAAGACACTGGGATGGCTGCCTGGTTTTGCTACCTTTGTGGAGAATGGGGGTGGTTGTTACTTTTCTAGCCTACCAGATATTTTTTGTGTGTGGTTTTGGTTTTTTTGGTTTTGGTTTGGTTTTTTGGTTTTTGAGGAGGGATGTCTCTACAGGAACTTGTTGTCTTCTACTGTTTACATATATCCTCCTGTGCCTCATTCCCCTTGTGCATTTCCCATAAGGATACGCAGCAATTCACTATCTCAGATGAGTATAGTTGGGAGAAAATCATTACTGATAGCAAAATATGGGTCCTAGAAAAGCAGAGGCCATACAAGCACCTGGCAAAGATAAATTGGGGGGAAATGGAAACATATTATAAAAGGTAATTTTATTTTCCTGTCTATCAGTACATGTTCTCCCTTGGTAAAAGAGGCAGAAATGTTATGCATGGCTTGTGTTTTGTTTCATTCCAAATTTCCAGAGACTAAAGGAAAGGCTTCTCTTCTCTAATATGGAATGAGATGCCCTAACAAGCATACATCCAATTATAATAATAAGGCCATTCATTTCAATGGGGCTTTGCATGTAAAAGAGAAATGCTAACCCTTGGGAGAATGTTTTCTGCACGTTGCCAGTGTAAGGCTCCTTTCATTTGCACATCATGGCAGCATTGCATGCTAACAAGCCACAGGTGTACTTTCTGGGAGCCAGTGAAAAGGGGACTGTGAGAGGAATGCAAATGCTTTCCATATATATAATGTAAATTAATCTCAAGACATATTAGTGTGTTTTTCTTTGTGCTCAGCATCCTCAGTGCTCCTCATGCCTTTCATACTACATGAAATCCTGTGCTTTAAAGCTTCCTAATATAGGAACAGTTAGAATATGGGTTAGGAATCAGATCACTGAATCATCTGGCCCAGTCTTCTCCAACTTGGTGCCGTACAATTTCCAGAAGCTCCCAGACAACTCTGCTGGGCATTGTAGTCTAGCACATCTGGAGGAACCAGTTTGTTGAGGACTGATCAAGTCAAGCTGGGTCTATTTCAAGTGGCAGATGCTTTCCAAAGCTTTCCAAACCATATTTTTTGTCTTCTGTGAGATGCAGTAATTACATTTTTCTCTTTCAGCTGTTACATTTCATTGTATTTTATGAAGTTACTTTGAGCTGTTTTGGAAGCTCTTTGTCAAAAAAGCAAAGCCATGCATGTAAAATCTAAGCAAACAAACAGGGAACGTGTCAGAAATTAAAGATGGAGTCTTGTTCTCCACTACTGATCTCCCTTTAATTTCAAGTAAAGATTGGGAATGCATGCCCTTCCAAATATGGTTGGTCTTCAGTTCCCATCAGCCATAGCCAGCATAGCCAATGGTAAGGGATATTGCATTCCAACCACATCAGGAGAGCCACACATTTCTACATCATTGCTTTAAATCAAGGGTTACAAATGGGAGCAATCTGGTTATTTTGGCATCATGTTCAGGAAATGCTCATTATGCATTTCTGAATCCACATGGTGCTTATTAACAAGCCATGTCTGCCTACCCTTCTTCCTGTCAACCAACAAATTGCTTTCTCACTATGTACCTGAACAAAAGCAGTGGACATTTTGAGCAGAAGTAGATAGCCATCAGCACTTGGCATCCATAAGCACCAGCTGGAGAGCCACTGCTGAATTTTGCCCTGTAACCCCTGATTGCTCTTATTCTGCACTGGACTGGACTGGACTCAGCTACTATTTCCATTTCCCACAATGCCTCTGACACAGCACCAATCTAAGACACTGGGAACTTGAAACAGCTACCTGGTACTACTGTACATTGCTGCTCACATTGATCATTAGGTCCACCCACTGGGGCCATGAATGGAGAAATGCCCCTTCATACCAGGAGCCAGTCAGGATCTTAAGATAAACTTAAGCTAACACAGTTAAAATTTAATGTATTTTTTCTTGCTTTATTGTCAGTCAGCAGTACATACTATTCAAACTTTCAAAAAGCCAACATGCCAAATTGTAAAGGTTGTTCTGGGCAGTTTTAAGCAGCCAATTCACCTCTGCCATGTGGCAGCCCAGTAAACTAGTAAGATCCTGTTAATAGTGGTGATGAGTAAATTCTTGTTTGTTCCATATCAGTTTATTATCTGTGAATTTCACACTGAGTAGAGAAGCCTCCATCTAACAAAGGAGCAGACACACAATCCTTCCTTTCTCTCAAAGCAGAGTGAGATTGGAGACAAACTGCATGCTATCCATGCACATGTGGAACTGGCATTTCTACCATTATTTTCCCTACCATCCCAACCAGGCAGGCTTTGAGATCTATGAGAATTCATCTGAGAGGAAAGAAGTACTTTCAGCAGGCTCTCTGGGGCCACTCCATATTCCCTCTCACTGTTCTAAAAACTTCTAGCCTGGGCCATCAGGCTAACTAAAGCAAGCCCTCCAGTGCAATTATGTGGTCAATGTCCAGCAGTTGTTGATCATAGAGCTGGTCTGGAGGGCCTAGAGACTTCTACAGAGGTGTTCTCTCAGGTTAAAAAAAAGTATTTTTATTTGTGTTTTTTCCATATTCA